CGCCGAAGTCGCCGAAAGATGCCGCCGAGAAACAAGAGGGATCTTCTCGACCTCTCTCTACTGTGAGAGCCATCAGTGCAAGAAGGAGGAAGACCCCTTCTACCAGGGGGTCAGGGGAAGGGGAGACGGGGGAGAAAGAGACGGAGAGGGAGGGGGAAATGGAAGATGTGGAATATCCAGAACTCCCAGTTGAAGACAAAGTGGTAAATGAACTTTGAAATCAAGACAAATAGACTAAATTTTCATAAAAGTTTGTTTTTTAAAACAAGAGTTATTCAGTGAAACACTTGATAAAATTGATTTTTGGCATGAATTTGCAAATCAGATGGTTTCAGTTCGCTGATTTTTTCAAATATTATGTCAAAACGTTGGGTTAACTGCTATGTGTTCACAGATTTCTTGCTTTTGGTTATATCGATCTGCAAATTTATATTCCGATGCACACTACTTTTTAATATATTTTTTCTACACATGATCAGAAAAAAAACGTTCACCCCAAGATACGGAGTAAATATATCAATAAATGAGCTTTTTTTGGGTCGTTCATGGCAGTTCGTCAAAGAATTTGCTTCTTCAGGAAATGTTGACCGAGATTATGATGCAAGCGGCGGAAGAGTACGAGAAACAACAGTCGCCCAAGACAATAGCCGAGCAGCTGGCGGAGGCTGAACGGAAATCAGTAGAGGGAGAGGGGGCTGAGACCCCACCCGAAGTGACTCATCGGTCAGAGAGGGGGGAAGGCGAAGGGGAAGGGGAAGGAGACCAAACTGAAGTTCCCAGTATAATGGACTTTGACCACAAAACTGATTTCGACCAAGCTATGGAGGTCAGCTAATCGTTCAGAATAAAAAAAAACTTTTTCATTATTTGTTTCTGTCTTCATTGATTTTTCTTTTGAATTAAAAACTGCCTAAAATTGAACAACTTTACTTTTTTGGCTCAAAATGTTTGAAATTGCATTTTTTTTTGCTTTTATCGAAAGATATCCATCGATCAGGCGTCCGCTATAAATTTGGAAAATATAAACCAGTAGCAGATTAAGGGAGGGTGGCGGGTGGGGGCGGATGCTTCTTCTTTTCAGGGATTCGACCCCCGCCGACCCCCCTTTGTACTATTTTGAGATATCCATTTTTGGCTGACTCACCCTAAAACTTTTCTAAAGGCGCCTTTGGCGCCAATATATATTAATTTTGAGAGGGGAGCGCGCGCCGAAAAAAAAACGCAATTTTTTGTCAAAAAAAGCCTAAAAATGTCTTTCTTGGCCTGTTTTTTTCAAAAATTTGCATGCGGCGCAAAAAATTTGGTCAAAATGGGGTCTTTATAGTGATTTGGGAGAGCTCAGAAAATCAATTTGGTCGACCTAAAAAAAAGGTCGACAAAATATCCGCCCCCCCCCCCCCCGCTCCCCTCGAGAATATCCTTGATCCGCCCCTGATATAGACAAACAATACTGAAAAAATGTATATTTTGTATTTTTATTTTCGTCTTTGTATCATATTTCTTGCATCTTTCGTTTTATCATTTATAAATTCAACCTAATGCTTATTAATTTACACTTCTAATTTTCTCAGAATGTAATTGATCACGCTACGCAAGAGGTTGAACCTGAACCCGACACGCTTGATAAGATAGACGAGGAGCCCCCGACAACCACCGAACAGAAACCGAAATCAGCCGAGAAAGAAGAAACAAAACCGACAACTCCGAAAGCCGAAGATGTACCCAAAACACCAGCTGCCGAAGATATACCCAAGACACCAGCTGCCGAAGATATACCCAAGACACCAGCTGCCGAAGATGACAAAGAAGTTGAACCAAAAGCAGAGCAACCGGAACCAACCGCGGAAGAGCCGAAACCGATTAGTCAGCAAAGAACACCTCGGAAACTCTCTCCAAGTGAAACACACCCGATGGGCCGACCTTCAATTGGGGGAGACTTGGATGAGCAAAGGTCAAATATCAGCTCGCAAGGGTCACAGAGGTCACTAAAGGGGTCAAAGTTCAAAGCGGTGATTGGAACAGAGGAGCCTGCACAGGATCCAGCGAAGGTAAAAGCACTCAGACAAGAGTTAGACAATATATTTATAAAAGTTATTTTTTTAAACATATTTTTTAAGGTTAATTCAAAAAACGTAATTAAACAGAATTCAGCATTTTGAAAATACGTTACAATCACTTTTTGTAGCTTTTAGTGTAGGTTTTTTCTTGAAAATGAAACTGAAGTGTTAAGCTAGATTTATAACCGAAGCTTTAATTTGCTAATTTATCGTTTTAAGTGTTCACTTTGTTAGGTTGAACTGAAATAGGCTTCTACTTTTCAAAATTCTTCTAATTTGTAGAAATCTGTTGGACAAAAATGTGTTTTAAATTGATTTTGAAACCTGATGTTAACTAAAAAACTACTATGCAAAAAATCTGGTAGGTTGCCCCGGTTGACCCTGGCCAGCAACTGATTGACATGAAGATAGAGGGAAGCAGTCAGCCCTCATCCCGGAAGGGCGAGCGACCCAGTCCGAAGGAGGCTGAGAAACCGGAGGAAGTTCCGGCTGAAGCAACTGGAGCTGACGAGGAGGAGGCAGAGACAGAGAAAGCGTTAAAGGAAGTGTCTCTGGCTAACGAAGCAGCTGCCGAACCACAACCAGCGGGTAATTTTTTATTCATTTGAAGATGATAATTTTCAATAATTTTATCTTTTTTTTTCAATTGAATGCTATAGTCTGTAATAAACACAGATTTTAGTTTTTATCACTATGTTTAAAAATTTCAATTGAACTTTCAGTACCTTGGAATGTTCTAGAATTTTTTCACCCCCTCAGAATGTTCTAGAAGATGGTGATGACGCCAAAACAAGAGTGTCAAGTGCGCGTAGTTCAGTCACTCAACATCCCTTCCCCTCTTTCCCCGTGCTGCCCCCAATTGGTTCCGAGACTGATGCGGAGAAGGGGAAGGATTTCGCCAAGTTGGAGAAGGCGGCGGAAAAAGCGAAACAAGTTCAGGATGGTGAGTCACCATAAATTGAACTTCGCGCCAAAAAATTCAGTTTTTTTTTCCAAAATTTTTCAAGCATATTTTGAAGCGTTGACAATAAATCTAATTATTTCAAATATCGTAAAAGTTATAAATTTAAAAATATTTAAGCGTTTTTGTCAACAGCACTTTAAAAAACGTTTGACATTTTATTTATAATCCAAAAGTTGTTGATTAAAATTTTTCGGCGCGCAATTTTAGGCATCCAATTTCTATTGTTCGTGGTAATAATTGGTCAATTTGTTGATCGAACCATTTTTGAAACTTTGTCAGAAAGCATCTTTTCAATCATTTCATTCATTTCAGTTTGATCATCTTGTAAACTGTTGATTTGACGGCTACTCTTTTTGTGGTCAAGCTATAAACTCATTTTAGCGCTGACTTGAAACCTTCATTTCTGCATGATTCATTAATCCACATCTATTATTAGAAGAAAAAACAGCAGACAGTCAATCTCAAACATCCGCCAGCTTCATCACTGAACAAGACCAGAAACCACCTTCAGACAAATCATCCCAAGCCAAGGTCAAATCCAAAGACTCAAAGGTCAAGTCAAAGAAGTCCAGTGTGACCTCTAGCTCCAAAGGGGGAAACAGGAAACAGCAGCCTAAAATTGAGTCCAGGGCATCTACAGTGCAAAGCACTATGGCATCAACAGTGGCTAGCGATGACGGTGTGTTTGTTGCATTTGGCAACAAAACTAGTTGCACTAAAAACTGTTTTATGCTGTCACTTGTCTGCTAATAACCAAAATCGCTTTTCCAGTTTTTTTCATATTTACAGAAATTTTTCACTCATTAACATATTATAGTTTTTGTTCTCGATTAATCGAGAAAGGAAAATTAACGCGAATTGCTCGAATGAAAGTGTAAAAATCATGGAATTCTTCGTTCATAACCAGGGGCGGATCTAGAACTTTCTCGAGGGAGGGGAAGATTTTCAAAAAGTATCGAACGATTTGTCACTTTACCAAATCACTATAAAGACCCTTTTTTGACGACATTTTCTGCGCCGCAATCAAGTTTTTCAAATAAAAAACAGGCCAAAATAGGCGTTTTGGGCATTTTAAGGCGTTGTAGAAAATTTTGTCCAAAATTTTGAGCGCTTCTTCTCACAACTGGAATATATTTGCGCCAAAGGCGCCTTTAGAAAACTTTTAGGACCAGACAGAAAAATTGAATGCCTTAATAAATTACTACATGGGGACCCTTTGGGTAGATAGAGGGTTGAAGTCTTGAGGGAGGGAAGCGTTCGACCTCATATCCCCCTACATTACATCCGCCCCTGTTCATAAGTGTATTTCAGCAAACTCTTTTTCTAAATAAAAAAATCAGCTAGATCGGCCGCTTGTGCTCATTAGGCAATGACTTGTGCTTATTTAGTTATTACCAAATCATTACTAAAAAGGCTGGCATATGATACTTTACTTGATCGAATCTGACTTTTATCAAACTTTTTACTTTTACTGAAAAAAAAACAAGTAAATTTTGTTACAAATTATTTTTTGGCAAATTTTGTTGATCGAAACTGTTTTGCCGTAGGTTTTTTCAATTCGAAGTTACAAATCAAGTGCTTTCAAATCCTCGGATTTGATAAAAGTGACATGTATTTATTGCGTTCAATCGGCATTAAATACTGCGCAGTGAACCATTAGCTGGCTCTTGCAACTATACAATGTGATCGTTTTCTTGAGAAAAAATACGCTAAGTTATGCAAATTAGATTTTTTGTAGTTCCAACCATTGCAAAGGGCGAGGAACTGTGTCTTCGGGTGCTTGTTAATGTTTTTTCTTTTCAAAGTTTTTTCTTTTCCACCAAAAACCACAAATAGTCACCAAAAAAGATTGAATTCAAAAATTTTGCAGTCGTGATTCAAGCGACATTGAATTTTTTTGAATGCTGTCCAAGGGTTCTTTTTAAAGTTGTTGAGAAAAATCAGTTTGAAATCTTTGATTTATTGTCTAACTTCGAGCGAGGAAAGCGATGTAATTTTCATTTTTTGTATGTTCAATTAAGCTATAAACCACGACTTAATAAAACAAAAACTAGTTATAGAAGTTCCTTCTAGCGCTTCCTTGTCAATAAAAGATTATATATATATATATATATATATGTATATATTCACTTTTATTTAAATATTTACATTTATATATGTACATAATTTTTCATTCACAATTTTTTTTGATCAAATCAATCCTTCGTGAGCAAATTTCGAACATTTTGGATGAAGCTTGCCTCAAACTTTTTCCAATCTGAGCACCGACCATAAATTGGGAAGAACTTTGTATTCGGTTGTATTTCAGTTTTTTTTCACGAAAAATCAGGTACCACGTTTTCGGAATGGGTCGAGTGATATATCTTTTTAAGACAATTTCAGACATGATTCGGTGATATGTTACAATAGGTGGTAATTTTGAGTGTAGTGCATATATTAAATTTGATAACTATAATGCATAATATAGTCATTTCATTTTCAATCAACAGTTATACTTCTACTAAGAGTTTTTGTATATACATTACTCTGCCAGATCAAATGCTATTCAAAAATTCAGGCTTTTCACTTTCTTTTGCCTCAAAATTTGGCTTTCGATACTTATTATAAATATTGTGCGAAGTATAACAAAAAGCGACCCATAGCTATTCAAATTGAATCTACCACCTACTGTAATATATCACCCATGATTCACCCGACATTAAAATATTTTGAAATGAATTTCTCAGTATCGAGAAAAACCGGTTGGAAAATTTCGAGTAATTAAGGTGAGCAATCAGGCTTACTTTGTTTTTCAACCAAAAAACTCTAACCCAATTAGTTATCGGAATTCAATTAGAAATGTAATAAAATTATACCTAATTTCATTGAGCAAGAATCTAACAACTGTCAAAATTTTCGGTTGCAAAATTGAATCACAATTTTAGGCTGCAAAGCTCACTTTTAATTTTTTAAATTGATTAATCGGGACTATCCCGGGCAGGTTTTGTTAAATCTGACGCTGATTTTGAATAAATGAAATTTAATGTCTTGATTGTCTTTTTTAAGCATGGAGTTTCTTTTTTCTTCAGCGAACGATCAATTTTTTTTCTTCATTTTCATCCTTGTCTGAACTATGCTACGAATGCACTCTTGTCATCGCTAAAGTGACCTTCAGACTGCTCCAACTGTTTTCTCCTTCCCTTAGTTAGAATTAGTTAGACTTCTAATCATCTTAATTAACCCATTTGGACTGTATTTGACCTTTTGACCTCTAGTTTGACCTTTTGAAATGTTAAATTTTCAACACCTTGCTTAACTCATTTGGACTGTATTTGACCTTTTGACCTCTGGTTTGACCTTTTGAAATCTTAAATTTTCAACACCTTGCTTGAGTCATTTGTGATGTTTTTGACCTTTTGACCTCTAGTTTGACCTTTTGCACCTTTTATAGTCTGTTGAAAACGATTTTAGACTCTGTTCTGTTCTAGAGGATGATTGGGGCGGTGCAACCGTGGACGAGACTAAGATCCTGAAGAACCTGGTCGAGGACGAAAAACAGCGAGAGAAGAAGGGCAAAGAAGAAAGAGAGAAGCAAGAAAAGGCCAAGAAGGAACTGGAGAAGTTAGTTCAACATCAAGGATGGTTGTGACTATTTTGCGCCACAGAAAAAATATATCAACTTTTTTTTTTAATTTCCATATAAAATAAGAAAAAATTAAATATGATCATTTTAAATGAACAGCAAAATGAAAGAATCAATACTGAAACCAAGAAAATCTCAGAATTTAATTGGCAATTTTTCTTCTTCAAAATTTGCGAAAAACTAATAAAAAAGAAAAAGAATGCGTGTATGTTTTGCATGCAGTACTGAATGTTTTAGTTCTGATCTTAGTACAAATATTATGACGGTGACTTTTGTTATGAATTATGACTATCGTTTTTTCCACAAATAATCAAACCGCATATTTCGAAATTCTAACCTGAAATACAAAAATTAGTTGAAAAAATATTAAAAAATTAAAATATTCTCAAATGTTCATTTTATTTTAGATATTTAAAATTAGATTTCCAAAATATGCACTGGATAGTTTGTGGGAAAATACCAATCTTAAAATTCAATAATATGGGGAAAAGCGGTCAGAGAAATTTCTCACAGTTTTTAAATGAATGCAGAATGCATAAAAAATTGTATGCAAATTGCATGCAGCTTATGTCATACTGGGTAGTAGTAATTGGCTTCCCAAATTGTTAACTGTTTTCAAGGACCAAGTTTTCAAAATTTCTAAAAATTGCTTTTTGTTTCAGAAAGCAGCAAGAGGAAGAACGGTAGGAGTTCTGTACACAATAGTTCTTGCTTTTGATAAGATAAGATAAATTTGCATAGAAGCGAACGATGCCCGCAATGCTTCTCCTCTGTAATCAGCAAGTTATAACCAGGCTAAAGTTTTTCCCGAAATAAACACTTATAACATATGTTTTTTTAAAATTTCCCTTTGATTAAATGAATAGTTTGTAGTTGAGCGACGAGGCGAGAGATTCGGTCTGACATTTTGAAAGTCACCAGCAATCACGAAATTCGTCTAACTACATTTAATTGTACGCCTCATTTGGAGTTTCTTACACACGAATATAATTTTTTAAATAAGAATCTAACATTTTCTTTTTAGAATCTTATATCTTAATTCAAACTTTCTTGTAAAAATCTTACACCTTTATTCATTTTCTTATAATAATTTTATATCTTAATACATGTTTCATAAAAATCTTACATCCTGTTTTAAATTTTTAAAGAATTTTAGTCTTAAATTAGATTTTATAAGAAACTTAGAACTTAATTCATTTTTTGATAAGATTTTTACATTTTAATTTAGATTTGCTTTTATAAAAACTTACATCTTACATCAAGTCTTATAAGAATCGTACATCTTAATTCATTTTTTATGGATCTTATGTCCTAATTATTTTTTATAAGCATCTCACAACTTAATTACTTTTTATTATAAGAATTTTACTGATTCATTTTTTTATAAAAAATTTACATCTTTTTTAATAATTTTTTTTGTAATTCTTTTTTAATAAAAAATTCCCGTCTCAATTCATGTTTATAAGAATTCTACTTCCTAACCTAAAATTTCTTATAGAATCTTTAAACCTTTTTTTCTGACAAGAATCTTACGTCTTACTTCATATTTTATAAAAATCGTACATCTTAATTTATATTTTTAATAAAATTTTGCATTTTAATTGTTTTTCTTTCAGGAAATTTACATGTTAAGATATTTTCTAATGCAAATCTTACGTCTTAATGGAAATTTTATAAGAATCTTACTTCTTAATTCCTTTTTAAATTAAATTTTTACAAATTAATTCCTTTTTTCTTATAAAAATCTTACATCCGAAATCATTTTCTTTTAAGAATTTTAGATTTTAATTCAGTTTTTATGAAAAGTTTACGTCCTAATTCATGTTTTTTTTATAAGAATCTTACATCCTAATTCATTTTCTAATAGGAATCTTTTATCTTAATTCATCTTTTATAAAAATCATACATCTCAATTCGTTTTCTGATAAAATTCCTTTAAAACTATTACAAAATAAATTTAACGGCTCATAGGGTTCTCACAAGTTTCTTTTAAAACTTTGAATTTTAGCATGACCGGATAAAGTTACTACAATTTTTGAGAGGGGAATTTTGGGTTTTTTGTTAGTTTTGAGGGATTCAGAATCTAATTGGGAGTTTTGGTCTAACGACAACCTGTTTCATTTAATCCTAACTGAAAACCTAGAATGTAGTAGATTGGCAAAAAAATCAAAACTAGTTGAAGACAAGAAATAAGCCGAAAAAATTTATTAAGTCTGAATTAAGTGAAAGCATAAAATTTTTCGGATAGATTGGCAAAAGAAGTTAATTTAACCAAAGAGAAAAAACTAGCCGAATAAAATCATTAAGTCTGATTTAAGTGAAAGCATAAAATTTTTCGGGTAGATTGGCAAAAGAAGCTAAATTAGCCGAAGAAAGGAAACTAGCAGAATAAAATCATTTAATTTTTAGTAAAAGCATAATTGTTTTCGGATAGATTGGTAAAAGAAATCATCAAGTCTTTAGTAAAAACATAATACTTTTCGGATAGATTGGCAAGGAGTGAAAGCATAAAATTTTTCGGATAGATTGGCAAAAGAAGTTAATTTAACCGAAGAGACAAAACTAGCCGAATAAAATCATTAAGTCTTAATTCATCTTTTATAAAAATCATACATCTCAATTCGTTTTCTGATAAAATTCCTTTAAAACTATTACAAAATAAATGTAACGGCTCATAGGGTTCTCACAAGTTTCTTTTAAAACTTTGATATTTAGCATGACCGGATAAAGTTACTACAATTTTTGAGAGGGGAAATTTGGGTTTTTTGTTAGTTTTGAGGGATTCAGAATCTGATTGGGAGGTTTGGTCCAACGACAACCTGTTTCATTTAATCCTAACTGAAAACCTAGAATGTAGTAGATTGGCAAAAAAATCAAAACTAGTTGAAGACAAGAAATAAGCCGAAAAAATTTATTAAGTCTGAATTAAGTGAAAGCATAAAATTTTTCGGATAGATTGGCAAAAGAAGTTAATTTAACCGAAGAGACAAAACTAGCCGAATAAAATCATTAAGTCTGATTTAAGTGAAAGCATAAAATTTTTCGGGTAGATTGGCAAAAGAAGCTAAATTAGCCGAAGAAAGGAAACTAGCCGAGTAAAATCATTAAGTATTAAGTAAAAGCATAATATTTTTTGGATAGATTGGCAAAAGAAGCTAAATTAGCCGAAGAAAGGAAACTAGCCGAATAAAATCATTAAGTCTGATTTAAGTGAAAGCATAAAACTTTTCGGGTAGATTGGCAAAAGAAGCTAAATTAGCCGAAGAAAAAACTTAGCCGAATAAAATCATTAAGTTTTTACTAAAAACATAATACTTTTCGGATAGATTGGCAAAATAGGCTAAATTAGCCGAAGAAAAAAATTAGCCGAATAAAATCATCAAGTCTTTAGTAAAAACATAATACTTTTCGGATAGATTGGCAAAATAGGCTAAATTAGCCGAAGAAAAAAATTAGCCGAATAAAATCATCAAGTCTTCAGTAAAAGTATAATACTTTTCGGATAGATTGGCAAAAGAGGCTAAATTAGCCGAAGAGAAGAAACTAGCCGAAGAAGAGGCAATGAAACAAGAATGGGAAAGAGAGGCTAAAGAGCAGGCGGCTAAGGAAGCAGTGATGAAAAAGAGACAAAAGATAGCCCAGGATAAACCCAAAAAGAAGTTGTCCGAAGCGGGCCAATCAGAGACCAGTGGCACTGGTTCGGCTCCCGCAGTTGGCAACAAAACTGTCGACATGTTCGCCGGAATGCGTGAGTGAGATTTTTGTTCATTTTTTATTTTTAAAGATTAATTTTCGTGACAGATCATCGTCTCCTAAATTCAAAAAAAGAAGGTAGTCGTTTTCTATCACGGCGTCAAATGGTGAACTTTAATAAGCCCCTCTCAAGTTAACATCAAAACTTAAAATAATCTAAAAAAATATTGTATCCGAACAAACTGAAATGATAATTGTTCCGACCATTGAAAAAGGGGCGGAACTTTGTATTTGAATGTGTTTTAGTTTTTCTTTTCTTTGTTTAGACTGGGTCGAGTGATTCAAACCCTTTAAATCATGATTCGAAGAATTGATTCGGACCGCCAGATTATTAATTCTCATAAAAATTTTTAGAAATGAATGTATAAAAATATCTACTTAGATACTTAATCGACGAACGAGTTCTAGAAATAGAAGAATAACTAAATTTTATCAAAAATCGACCACCGCTCTGCAAGCAGATGAGATACCTCAAAAAACTTGGGGCGGATTTAGGGGGGGGGACGCTTTCTTTTCCTCAGGGATTCGACCCCCTGCCGAACTAAAGGGTCCCACCTTTAGTTTGGTACTTTTTAAGAAATCCACTTTTGGCTGACCGACCCTAAAGTTTTACTGAAAGCGCCTTTGGCACCAATATATACTAATTTTGAGAGGGATCGCGCGCCAAAAAAACATGGTTTTATTAGCCAAAATTTTTCAAAAAGTGCCCAAAAACGTTTTTTTTTAATGTTTTGTGAACATTATCTGCGGCGCAAAAAATTTTGTCTCAAAATAAGGTCTGCTAGTGTTCTGGGAAACTCAAATTGATCGACTTAAAAAAAAGGTTGCCAAATTTTCCAAATTTTTTTTTTTTAAATCCGGCCCCTCGAAAAAAAATCCTAGATCCGCCCCTGTTAAAACTTTTTGTATAAATTACCGGTTTGTATTAATTTTTGTTTTTTGTATAAATTACCGTGGCCGGAACACGTTGTGCTGCTTACACATCAACTGGATAGTGTTGTTCTTTTTGTTTCCAGCGGGTCTGGCGGAGACTGCGGCGGAAGTTGGGGGCTCAGTGAACTCTGCAATGAAGGCGCCCAAAGTCATAAAGAAGAAAACGAACCCAATGTTACAGAAGAACAAATCCGTTTTCAAGGGTGAGTAACTCATAATTAAGGAAGCTCTTAAGATAATTTCTCAATTATAATAAGTGTGTTCGTATAATTTTAATTTCTGTAAGGCTCTTTTGTCTGTTGAGAAGAAGATTTAGGGAGAAGGTTCGTACCGTAACCAACCCAAGTAAAAGCGTCCCCCTCTAGTACTTCTTTGCCCCATCCTTTTTTGGTCAACAAACCCTAAATTTCTTAGGGTACTTGGGCGGCAAGATTCGAAAAATTGAACGGGAAGCTCGTTCCGAAAACAAACACCATGTTTGGTTAAAAAAACGCGGAATATTTATGTGCTCGAGGTGATTTTTTTATTCAGTCAAATTTTCAACTTTTACACTATGCATTTCTGACTGAATTTCTGTACATTATCTCAAAGATACTTTTGTTTGAACATATTTCTTTCTAATTGTTCAATAGAAAGAGGTTTCAACTGTGATAATTTTTCACTAAGTTATAATGGTTCAAATTTGGGACTACTTTGACGACTATAACTCAAATTGGAACAAGACTGCTCGTATAAGGGCAAAGTTAAGAAGCAGTTAAAAGGCAGTCGGATCCTTCAGGGCTTCCCCTGATACGAGTTGTCTTGTTCGTGCTTTTAGATGCGGCTGGCGAGAAGGGAGCTTTCGTCAAGTTCAAGGACGAACTACTCAATGTCGGACACGAGCTGGAAATGAAAGAAAGATGTCAGTTTTCTATCATCTTTACGCCCGCCCACTATTAAATTTGGATTAAAACAAGCTTAGAGTGGCTATTCGGATTGACTGAAACCTCCAACTTAAATCAAAGAAAAACCCCAACCCCCCCCCCCCCCCCCAAAAATCACGTCAGAAGAAGGCCGGTAAATTGGTTGTTTAGATCTTTTTACCATTAAAAACAAGGTTAACGAAGAAAGTTTTTCAGCTTTATTTTCGGACTCACAGGTAGAAAAAAATGAGTCTTTTTCAGTGATTGAGAACATGAAGACACTCTTCAGCAGTCTTCTCAGCCAAAATCTCCTCAAAAAACTCAGAGGTCAGTAAAATAACAACCTGCTAATCCTGTTGTGGCTATCTTTTACTATTACATGTTCCTTATAATTCCTTGTTAGCAATGATACTGCACCTCTATAAAGGTCATATTCAACAGCTAATATGTTAAAAGTTCTACCCACTTTTGTAAGAGGGCATAGTTAGAATGATCCGCAATTCTGATCCGATTATTTCGCCAAAAGGACGAAGCGAAAATTGAAATCCATAAGATAATGTTTACAATTTTTTCTCGATACCGTTTTATCGAGAAAAATTTTCCAACTTTTTGACACTTTAAATTACAATACTCTATTTCTCTTCTCTACTTGTAATCAATAAATCTGCTCTTAATTCAATATTGTGTTAAAGTCAGCGACGGCCGGTTTTCTTGGGATGATATTGCCGTTCTTTCCAAAGGTAAAATCAAATCAGACTAGTGTTCGTATCATCACATTGGACACATTTTTGAAAAAAAAATGTTTTTTTTTTAATGATTTCTTCTGTTAGTGCTTGCAAGAGGAATGTCTAATCACCGTTTTGTGTACTACTCTCTACAATGTCCCGCGTTTATTGACATCCTCAAAACAAGTCCCCAAAATCAACAGTTCCTCGACACTTACTACGAGTTATGTCGAACAAGCATGGTTGTTATTTCGGATCCAGAAAAAAACGCCAAACGTCGAATGTCGACCTTGAAACTCCCAGAAATTAGCATTTCAAAGGTCGACCAAAGTTCATCGAAAATCGATGCAACGGCATCAAACCTATCTGTAGTCGATTCAGTTTCAAACAACCACGTCGAATCTTTTGACCAATTGAAAGAGCCCGAAAATTCAGCCAATCAAAACACAGACTCTAATACGTCTCAACTGGACGACGGTCAAAAAGCAGAGAAATCTTCTGAAGTTACAGAAGTTAAAAATGAGTCGACTGATTTGTTAACACAAAATGATAAAGCAGAAAATGTAGGTGATGAATCGAAACCGGAGTCGAAAACAACTCAAAAAGAAGCTCAAAAAAGTCGAGTTTTGAAGCGATCGTCAATTTCTGTTTCACGCGAAGACTTTCGACGGAAACAAAACAACAGATCACGTGATTGGAAAGGGGGGAATAAAAATAATGACGGGAGCATTTGGTCCAAATCAAATGTGAAAATGAGAGAAAGAACTGAAAAGAACCTAAAAACCCCGAAAACGAAAACATCGGCAGGTTAAAAATGATCACGCCATCACGACTAGAAAACATCATGTTCTGATTATTAGTATCGTTGCTTGCCGCACTTTTACAGTTATCATTTTAGATTCAGTGTACAATCTAGAAAAATCTAGAAGGTACAGAGCTTATTTAAAGTTGGTTCTTTATAGACATAGATCATCTTCGGTAGTTTTTTTATAAGTATAAGGCATAAATCGTATGAATCAATGCTCATTTTATAAGCTATAGGGTTTTTTAGAATTTTTCTTCCATTTTAGGAAAGAAAGGTCTCTACCGACGAGCAGCGCTGATCGCGGCAGCAGTGCTCTCGCAACTCTTCGGCGGCGACAGTCTTGGCCTGGACGCCAAAGTTGCCGCTCGGCTCTGGGGTACAAAACTAGCCGACTTGATGGGCGGTGCGGATGAACTCGAATGGTATATTGACCCCACAACTGGCGAGATGAAACAACGTCGGAAACGGAAAGAAATCCCGAAGTTGGAAATTTTTGTCGACAAGGATGGAAAAATGTACGTGGTGACAGAAACAGGCGAGAGGATTGAAGTGTTCAAAGATCCGAGGACCGGAAAGTTGATGTTCCGGACCAAGTCTGGAAAATTGATTGAAGTGCCTGGAAGTCTGGACGTCTTTACGGATCCGATCACTGGAAAAATGTACCTTGGAGAGAAAAAAGGTAAAATTTTCTTCTTCTGAACCAAAAAGCAAACTGAAAAATTTTTTCTTGCAATTTTCTGAAATGCAACGCTTTAAATATTCATGGTTGTTTTTTTAAAGGTCTAAGGTCTTAAAAAACAAGAAAGAAATGGCGTCTTAAGTTTAAGAACCATTCTCAGAATGGTCTCAAAGATCAACATACAATGATATTCTCTATTTAGTTATTGCTCGCCTAATTGATGCAAAATGTCGATTTGTTTCAGACCCCGGCATGGAAGTGTTCACAGACCCAGTGACTGGCAAGATGTTCATCAGGACGAAAGACGGCCAAGTACTGGAAATAGTGACAGATCCCAAAACTGGCAAAGTGTACATGCGAACAGCCAGTGGAAATCTGAAGGAGCTGCCACCTGGAATGGAGTTGTACACTGATCCAACAACGGGCAAAATGTACATCGGAAGCAAGCCAAAAGGTTAGTTAGGATCTCTTTAATTGTATCCTCCCTCGGGTACCTTGTAAAGAATATCCCCCATGAAGAAATAAATCAACGGTAAAGCATATCAGAGTTTTATACATAGTAACGAATATCCCCCCTTTTGCAAAATGGGATATGGTTAAAGAGTTGCGTTAGTTGCTTGAAAAAGTGCGGTATCAAGCTTCCATATATTTTCTCACCGATAAAATTTTCGCATCAAAAGATAAATAGTTATTTTGTCTCAATCGATCGCAGATAAAAATCCAAACGCAGAATTCAATTTTTTTTTGTCAAACTGGCTTGTTTAATGGTGTTTCAGTAATCAAAATATATAGTTTTTATTGTTTTGACTATTGAAAAGTTCGACCAATGGGCTGTGTTTTAGTTTTTGTTCCGACTATTTGAAAAATGCGGAGGAACGTTGTATTCGGGTGTGTTTTAGTTTTTTCTTTTTTCTTTTTTTTTTGTTTTCCACGCAAAATCATGCACCACAAATAGTTGTGGTAATGATTCGAGTGATATATCATTTTGAAGCCCTTTCAGTCGTAATTTGAACAACATTAGAACATTTTCAAAAAGGTTGCCCCGTATTTTAAAAAACATAGCAATAATTTAAAATGGCATGCTCACAATAGCATATTTTTGCTTAATTTAGTTTTACTCAAGTAAAGTTGGTTTTGGAAATTTTAGCATTATTTGGAAATGAAAAACCTCGAAAACTTAGGAGTAAAAAAAAAAAAGGTTGCGTAGTTTTGTTCATGTCCATTGAAGGAAATAGGAATTTGAAATCAATTTTACAAATACACATATCTTTCACTGAATTCACTCAAGCTAAAAAGTTAAGAACACATGAATCCACGAGTTGTGATTTTGAGAAAATTTTTCTTTGAGCAAAACAAATTTTACCTTTTACATTCCATACCCACAACTTAAAGTAATTTAACAATGCATAATGCTACGTAACTTGTTTTGGAATCTGAACTTTTTTGTATTTTTTGTTTGTAATTTTTTTGATATTTTCTTAGTCATTTTTCTACACTTCTTGCCTATTTTAGTATGAGGGTCGCTTACTCCTAAACTCTAAGTTCTCGTTCTGTTCTTATTATCACATCACGCAGAAAAAGAAAACGACTATAATTTGAAAAACAATTTTTTTAGACTATGTTCGGATCAATCTGTGCTACTTGCACAGTAACCGGCTGTCTTCATTCTTCTTTTATTTTTGTTTTCCAGGCTAAGCCAGGCAACGTAAATATTCATTGGATTTGGTTGAGTAATATATTAAATTAAAACCTTTCCAGTCGTGATTGGAACAACATAAAAAATCTCCAAAAAGTTTCCAGAGTGGAAAAAAACGAAAACCGTTTGAAGCTTTTGATTTTTGATCTAATTTCGAGCAAGTACAGCAATTGAGCAGGCCTGTTATAGAAGAATACTCGCAGATTAGCAATAATTAATCCATGAACTTTTTGTTCAAGCCTTGAAAAATCTAGTAGAATAATTTTTCAAAGTTTTTGTAGCGCCATGTTGCAAATAAAAAACTTCAAAAATTCAAAAAAATTTCTGCAAAAAAATGAAAAAAGTTTTTTTTTGATTTCTGATTTTTTAATGGTCATTTTTTCAAAAAACTGTTTCCAATAAGCCTTTTTTACAATGAATGTCGAAAATGACGAAAATGTCTAAAATCTAGCCTTTCATTCAGATCCTTTCTTCAAAAAAAGTTGAAATTTGCTTAACAAAATGAAATTTTATTGTAACTTTTCAAGAATATGGTCAGAACTTTCTGTGATACCTACACAGCAACCAGTTTTCCTAGTTTTATTTTGATTTTAACTATAATTTACTTTTTAAAAGTCAAGTTATTTTGATTTGTTTGATTTCTGCAGATGAGCCGAATTACGAGATCTTCACTGACCCGGTGACTGGCAAACAGTACATCAGGACAGAAGATGGCGAGATACTGGAGATTGTGGTAGGGGAGGATGGAAAAACATACATCAAAACCAAGTCTGGAAAGCTACGAGGCGAGTTGATAAAATCTAAGAAATAATTTTAGAAGTCTTTCTCTTTTTTTGGCAAAACTTTGTTTCATGGGAGTCGATAACGGCTAGTTTTCAAATGAGTTTCATAACACCTTACGTTAATCATTGTTATCATCGGTAGCATCAAAAGTTTTTTTTTAAATGTCGGATTGGCGTATTCAGTTATCGTCCCCTTGTATCGCCTTGTCTGAAACTCAAGTTATGACACAATCAACGAAATTTCCACAACCCAATTTGGATGATATATGAAGCCATGTGCGTTTGGTACAATAATGTCTTCATGTATAAGATTTGTCATCAGTTAAGTTTCATTTTTGTCGTCTTCATTATGGTGCACTTCCAAGACAGAATTTTTTCGGATAAGTTTTGTAAAGTATAAACAAATTGTCTCCTTTTTCCTAAAACAAATTTATTTATATTACTATAAAGCGCGTTTTTCAAGCATCAAGTTTTAGTTTTTTTTGTCTGTTTCCAGCATTGCCGAATGACATGCAGATATTGTTACCTTTTTTAAAAACAAATTTATTTATATTACTAAAGGAAGTTTTCAAGAGCGTTTTTCAGGCATAAAATTTCATTGTTTTTTGTCTGTTTCCAGAGTTGCCGGGTGAATTGCAGATGTACACTGATCCAGTGACTGGGAAGATGTTCATTGGGAAGCACAAGGGAAAGGAGGGGGATGGAGGAGACATGTTTGAGATTTGGACAGATCCGGAGACTGGAAAACAGTTCATTCGCACCAAGGACGGTCAGTGTTCGTTTTTGAACATAGTTTTCCGGACTACTGAAAAACCCCGAAAAAAAAACGTGGAGTGCAAAGAAAAAAATTAATGTTGCGGAGTGGCAAAGAGTGAAAAAGGCTATTAAAAGAAGAAAAATAATACTCATAATAAACTAAAGATTCAAATCGAAGTGTATGTAGATCACTGAAACAAAATTTAGCTAATATGTTGGCCCAAATGAGAAATTTTCCCCCTTAACAGGCCAATAAACAATCTCTCAACTTAAATTAAAGGGAAAATTCAAGCAGTAAGGCCCGCATGTACGTTGCTCAAATCTGATTGGCTGAAAATATTACTTCTGACCAAGTGAACTCTCTCCCCTTCGAAATGATTTAGGGGGGAAACTTTTCACCTGGTTCTATATGTTTTCAAAAGCGCATAGCAGTTTATCAAGCTAACTTTTAAAGGCTTAAAAAAGAATTTGAAGATTACTTTAAGGACTGCCTCATTTTTATCTTCTAGGTAAGAATTGTAAAGTAATCAGATTAATTTCTGATTGTTCCGACTTTCGTCACGAAAGTAATGGAATATTTATGCTCGGGGTGGGACAAATTTCGACTTTTTAACTAAGCTTTTTTGACGGAACTTTTTTTACATCAGCCGTCAAAAACATTGTCATCTTGAGCTCAAATTTGAAAAGATATTTCACCTGTGATCATTTTTCGTAAAGTTATGGGGGTTTAAATATTGCCATTATGGCCAATTTGGGACAATTAGCGCGCGATATAATTCGCGCAATTAATACGTAATCGGAGATTTAATCAGTCTCAAAAATTGTTCCAAATTGGTTGAAAAAAAAAAGCTTTTTACCATAACTGATTTGTTACTAGGAGCGAAATCTATCACTTTGTGTTTTATATGGCGTGTGGGGGAACGAATTTCACACAAAATCTCCAAATTAAAAAAATAAAATTCATTTTTTTATTACATTCAATTTTTCCATGTTATTACTGCTCCATAGGCTTTAAGAGGCAGTCTGAACATTTAGGGCCCTGATACGAGCAGTCTTGTCTATATTTTTCTTGTTTATGTGTTAAAGGCTTTTTCAGTACAATATGCTCGCAGCTTACAGTTTTTACAGCTTTTTTTCTAAAGAAACTATTATGTAGCTGTATAAATACGATTTTGTTTTTGGTTCGGCCTTGTTCTGTTAACTGATAATTTGTATAATCATGTTTGGTATCAATTGATAAAAAAATTGTGTCTTACTTTCCTAAACAGATTGTTAATTACCAGAAGAAAAAAAGAACAACATTTAGGACGGTTACTCGAATTGTTTTCTCCATTTCAATTGCTTCTCAACTTATAATACTTGGTGATCCAGGAGGGCGTGTAGGAATTTCTCAGGGGTGGGGGATTTTCAAAAAATGTACCAAAATATTACCGGCCCTTTTATAATTGGATCAAATTGATTTTCCCAGCGCTCCCAGAACACTATAAATAACCTATTTTGACTAAAATTTATGAACACACACGTCAAAGTTGTCGTTTTTGGAACTTTTTAGAAAATTGTGGCCAAGTAATTGCGTTATTTTGGCGCGCCCTCTCCTTCAAAACTAGTATCTATTTTAAAATTAATATATACAATTGTTCAAAGAAAACTTGTTTTCATCGGTAATGGTTTTTTAATGGATTGCAAATAAAAAGCTGTAATTGATTACAAATTTGAAAATTACACTAGAAACATTTGTGAACATCAAGATCACTTTTCATCATGCTATTTTTTCAGGAGAGATTCTTGAGATCTACACTGATCCTACAACTGGAAAGATGTTTCTTAAAACTAAATCTGGCAGACTCAGAGGTGAGTGAATATTTCTAGCTAGAGTAGAACTGTATACATTAACACATAAAAACTCAGCTTCGTCGAATAGATGGTACTTAATACTTGCTCAAATTATAATTATCATGAGGCAAAATCAAATTTTTGTTTTTGTGACGATGGCAGCATGCTTGGTGATTTTGAATAATTAGTCGGAGAATTTTGAAAGAAAGAAAGCACCTAAAATTCTAATGACGTTTTTCAGTTTAAAACCGAATTTGTCAATATAAATATCAAGTGTTTATAAAAAGTCAGCCTACCGTCTACGCAAACAGTTAACTCGCTGTTTTTTGAAAATTATTTGTATTTTTAGAACTACCAGACGACATGGAGTTCGTCACAGACCCAGTGACAGGAAAAAAATTCCTCAAACAGACGAAAGGTACTCTTTGTATTTTCACATATTTTATAATTGTTTGATGATTTTTTGGTCGTTTGAACGCCAGAAAATTATCTTGACCAAATTTGTGCTTGTATGCGCTTTTATACTTTCAGCTTTAAATCAGTATTCAAACATTTTTTTGATGGGTAGCTTTTCTAACATTCTTTTGAGCAATCATTTGAGTAATCAAAAACAATAAGAATAACTTTGATATTTCAGTGAACTGTAAATTTTTTTCATATTGCAAGCGTAATTGTAGTTACATTTTGCAACATACGAAATACAATATCTGGTTTCTGTTCAGATCCTGGCCTTGAGATGTTCACGGATCCTCTGACGGGGAAGACATATGTTCGCACGAGGGACGGGGAGGTCCTGGAAGTTGTTGTCGGCGAAGATGGCAAAACTTATTTGAAGACCAAATCCGGAAACCTCAGAGGTCAGAAATCTCTCTTGAACTTAAGCTTCTGATTAATATTAGCCACTTCTTGAAAATAAAATCATCTAGTTTTTGACTAAGAAAAGCTTGATAGTTAGTTATGAAGTTCGGAAATTCATTGCAAGGAGCGAGTTTAGGTTTTCTTTTCTTGCGTTCAATTTTTAATTTCAAATGATGTTCTTCAGTGAAAGCGTAACTCGCTTCTTTGTTGTAATAAATTTCTATTTGCAGAAAAACTTCAGGGTATGGGATATTTTTTGGCGTGATTTCTAATAAGTTAATCGGCAAAGCGCGGATAATCATTATCAGCAGCTGAATTGAGGTTGTAATTGAAGGGTGGTTGAAACCACTTCAAGAATTCATCACACTTGTCAGCTAAAGCATGCGCCTTTGGTACTATTTTATCATATCCCAATTGTTCCGACCATTGAAAATGGGGAGGATCTTTGTTTTCGGGTGTGTTTTAGTTTTTTTGCCTTTTGTTTTTCACGCAAAATCGGGTACCACAAATAACGATCGGACTGGCTTGAGTGATATATCATATTAAAGACCTTTCAGTCGTGATTCGAATCACATCAAAATAATTCCAAAAAACTTTCCCAGTGTCACGAAAAACCGGTTTGAAAGTTTTGATTTTTTGTCTTAATTCGAGCGAATGAAGCAGGCGAGCAGGCATTTTTGTTTTCCTCGCAAAATCAGCTGTCATCCGACTGGTTGAGTGATTTATCATACTGGAGCCCTTTCACTCGTGAATTCGACGATTTCAAAACTTTCAAAAGAGTTTGCCCGGTGTCCAGTAAAACCGGTTTGAAATTTTTGATTTTTGTCTAATTTCGAGCGATTGAGCAAAATTACATTAGCTTATTTATGCATAATTTAAGCCCTGAAAATTTAGTTTTACTCAAATGAAATTAGTTTTTAGCTTCATCTTTGGCTTCTTTTTTTGGCTTAGAGTTTTTAGCTTCATCTTAGGAATCAAAAACTTCAAAAACTTGGGGAAAACTTTTTTCGATTTTTTTTTGTTATTTTTCTTCAAAAATTGTATTGCAATTTGCATATTTTACAATGATTGACGCAAATATTTCTGCTCTACTTTTTCGCTCAGATTACTTTATCACACCAAGCCGAAAAAAAACGACACTTATTGGAAAAATAATTTTAATGTAACCGGCTATCTTTGCTTATATTTTACTTCAGACATCAAAAACTGCTAACTTAGAAAGGCCATCGCACGCAAAAAAATACAAAAAATGAGATTGCAGCTCAGAAATGTTCAACAGAAATAAATTTTAACCATTCCGACTTTGGCAGCAAATTACAGAGTATTTGTCCTCGGGTGATTTTTCACCAAACAGTAATCGACTTTTTGACTTTTCGTCTAAGCAAACTGTTTCAATTCACCTACAAGTTGTTAACTAATGTCCCGAAAAAGTTTTCGAAAAGTTATGAGGCTTTGAATATCGCCAATTTGACCAATTTGGGTTAACTAGCTGGCGATATACTTCATGATTTTAACGCATGACGGGCTATTTAAACCGGCTCAGACATCGTTCAAAAATGAATAGAGACTTGCCATCTGTTCTTTTTTTAGCTATTGACACACAAAAACATCTAGAAATTTTTTTAATGAATTTAACTTTGGATTTCAACAGAAAAATGGCTTGGTTCATTGAGGTTTTTGACGTTTTTCTTCCAGGTACTCAAAGATGAACAACTGGGAAGTTTTTTTTTGCTGCGCAGTTATAATTACCTCTAAGAAAACTTTTAATGGTCAGATGTTTTATCATAGTACAGCGCTTGCAGCCGTGAATTAGACTTCAAAATAGTTTCAGAAAAGTTCTTCCAGTATCCAGAAAACTAATCTATTTTTATTTTCTCTCAAGGATTTGATTTGCAAGATCTAATTTCTGAACCTACAAATAAATGATCCTATAAAATAATGAAACATTTCACCTTATATTACACTTTCTGCTAGGTTTTTTTTTCTTGAAGCCAAAATTTAATCCTTTTTTAAAACCTAAAGAAAATTTTGATTAAAAAAACATTTATTTTTTAAATTGATTTCTTAAAATTAATTTTTAATATGTAATTTCGTCTGCAGCCTGGTAAAATTGTTTTTTTTTCAAGAACTGTTATATTGTACCTAATAACTGTGGTTCCAATGATGTTAGTTTTTTTGCAACGACTAAGTTGAGTGAAAGCCTAGACTCTTCATATCCTTTAATGTTCTCTGTTTTTAGATTTGAAGTTTGCTTAAGAATCTTGTCCTACTTTTTTGTTAGTTTTCAGTCAAAAATATAACGACAAGTTGGCCAAAAAATTTGTTTTTTGGTTTAACCTACTCATAAAGCCTACTCCATAAATCTTTAAAATTTTTCGATAGTATTTCCAATTTTCATTTTTTCCAAAAAATACAAGTTCTGCATCGTGACTCAATCAGGCTTTAGAGAGTTAAAATTTGATTGCTAATATCGACACTTTCAAAAGTAGTATACCGTCGAACACAATGCGACTGATTTTTAACAAGATTTTTTCCTAAGCTGTAAAGAAGGAGAAAAAATATTTAAAATAGTTATTGCGGATCCTTGACTTATCAAGGATTTCAAGCATTAGTTCCGGACTATCCTAAACACGTTGGTCGATGTTTGGTTGAACGACAACCGCATCTACTGCCTTTTTCACTTTTCCGAAAAAAACGGTTTTCCGATTTTTACCGGCAAAAGGTGCGCGCCATCGTTAAAAAAGTCATGTATGCTTTTGTATTAGTACTTCGTGTTGAACAAACCTGGGCGTTTATCGCAAAATGACAAAGAATAAAAGTTCTGAAACAGATAGTTTTACAAAATTGCATTACTAAACTATGAAAACTTCTTTGAGAGATTTGTAGCTTATATTTAAATTTTGAGTGAGTTTGTTGCTTTAGTCCCAAGGACTTTTTTTAAAATAGCTGATTCCTTGTTGCGTTTTTGCTGCGTTTTTGCCTCCCAAAATTTTTCTCTGGCGCCATCTCCGGAGAGTTTGATTGTTTTGATTGAATCAGATAGCAATTAGTTTAAAGATATGTTTTTTATTGCCTTCAATGTAAGATTATATTCGTTTTATTAAAAACGAAAATTTAAATGACCCTGTACTAAAAAGCTGTTTTGTACAAAAAGCGCTAATATCCAAGCTTTTTTTTTCAGTTTTGTTCTTAAGATCTATAAGCTACCAATCACTTTGAGCTTGAGACGTTAAGGGGATGTCAAACATTGATGAAAAGTTTTAAGGATTTAGATAATTAACATTAAACCATAATCAATCAACGAAAACTTCGATAATTTTGTTAGCACTAACTAACGGGCGTTATACTTCATGATATTAACGCATGACGGGCTATTTAAACCGGCTCAGACATCGTTCAAAAATAAATAGAGACTTGCCATCTGTTCTTTTTTAGCTATTGACACACAAAAAACATCTAGAAAATTTTTTTAATCAATTTAACTTTGGATTTCAACAAAAAAAAAATTTGGTTCATTGAGGTTTTTGGCGTTTTTCTTCCAGGTACTCAAAGATGAAAAAATTGGGAAGTTTTTTTGCTGCGCAGTTATAATTACCTCTAAGAAAACTCTTAATGGTCAGATGTTTTATCATAGTACAGCGCTTGCAGCCGTGAATTAGACTTCAAAACAGTTTCAGAAAAGTTCTTCCAGTATCCAGAAAACTAATCTATTTTTGTTTTCTCTCAAGGAGTTGATTTGCAAGATCAAATTTCTGAACCTACAAATAAATTATCTTATAAAATAATGAAAATTTCACCTTATCTTACACTTTCTGCTAGGTTTTTTTTTCTTGAAGCCAAAATTTAACCCTTTTTTAAAATCTAAAGAAAATTTTGATTAAAAAAAAACACTTTCTTTTTTTTATTGATTTCTTAAAGTTAATTTTTAATATGTAATTTCATCTGCAGCCTGGTAAAATTGTTTTTTTTTGCCATAACTGTTATCATGTACCTAATAACTGTGGTTCCAATGATGTTAGTTTTTTTTGCAACGACTTAGTTGAGTGAAAGCCTAGACTCTTCATATCCTTTAATTTTCTCTGTTTTTAGATTTGAAGTTTGTTTAAGAATCTTATCCTAAATTTTTGTTAGTTTTCAGTCAAAACTATAACGACAAGTTGGCCAAAAAATTTGTTGTTTGGCTTAACCTACTCATAAAGCCTACTCATTGAATCTTTAAAATATTTCGATAGTATTTCACTTATCATTTTTTCCAAAAAATACTACAAGTTCTGCATCGTGACTCAATCAGGCTTTAGAGTGTTAAAATTTGATTGCCAATATCGACACTTTCAAAAGTAGTGTACCGTCGAACACAATGCGACTGATTTTTAACAAGATTTTTTCCTAAAATGTAAAGAAGGAGAAAAAACATTTAAAATAGTTATTGCGGATCCTTGACTTATTAAGGATTTCAAGCATTAGTTCCGGACTATCCTAAACACGTTGGTCGATGTTTGGTTGAACGACAACCGCATCTACTGCCATTTTCACTTTACCGAAAAAAAACGGTTGTGCAGGTGCAAAAATTTTTAACGGCAAAATGTGCGCGCCATCGTTAAAAAAGTCATGTATGCTTTTGTATTGGTACTTCGAGTTGAACAAACCTGGGCGTTTATTGCAAAATGACAAAGAATAAAAGTTCTGAAACAGATAGTTTTACAAAATTGCATTACTTAACTATGAAAACTTGTTTGAGAGATTTGTAGCTTATATTTAAATTTTGAGTGAGTTTGTTGCTTTAGTCCCAAGGACTTTTTTTTAAAATAGCTGATTCCTTGTTGCGTTTTTGCTGCGTTTTTGCCTCCCAGAATTTTTTTCTGGCGCCTTCTCCGGAGAGTTTGATTGTTTTGATTGAATCAGATAGCAATTAGTTTAAAGATATGTTTTTTATTGCCTTTAATGTAAAATTATCTTCGTTTTATTAAAAACGAAAATTTAAATGACCTTGTACTAAAAAGCTGTTTTGTACTAAAAAGCGCTAATATCCAAGCCTTTTTTCAGTTTTGTTCTTAGGATCTATAAGCTACCAATCACTTTGAGCTTGAGACGTTAAGGGGATGTCAAACATTGATGAAATGTTTTATGGATTTAGATAATTAACATTAAATCATAATCAATCAACGAAAACTTCGATAATTTTGTTAGCACTGAAAAAAAAAATGCTCTAAAATTTTCATCTATCAAAACCTAATTTTTATAATTTCAGTTCAATTTTAATTTGCAATCTATTTTTGGTTTGCATAAGTGGTGTGAGCCTTAAGGTAAATAAGATTGTGAAAGAAATAACGGGTAAAAATCTGTGTTTAAATTTCTTGATGCTAGTTAAATACAGCAATCTTGATAAGCATGACTTTCATATACAAGGCAACATTTTCATGTTAACCAAATTAAGCCCTTTCTCCAAACCCCAGTTAGTTAACCCCCACTTAAACAATTTTATAAGATATTTTCTTCTTTCTCCTCTCTCTCTCCCTCTCTCTCTTTCTTCGTCTCGTCCTGCCTTCTGCCTCCTCGCAATCTTCGGCTTATGTCATGATTTAAAGTTTTTCCCCGTCAGCGCTGCTATCACGCGTTCAAGTTCGGTATACGCTCTTGCTAGCCTGACACGCTTCAAAATATATTTTTATGTTTACATAGTAAAAAAAACTGCAAACATTTAGCAACAATATTTTGCATCAAACTAATTTTCAAGTTATTCGCAACAATATCCTGTTTTTTTTAGAACTGGGGGATCATCTGGAGATGTACGTAGACCCAGTGACTGGCAAAATGTACTTGGGGGAGAGAAGAAATCCTGGCATGGAAGTGTTTGTGGATCCAGAGACTGGAATTACTTATGTGCGAACAGCCGACGGTAAGAAAGTTGACAGTTTTCTATAGCAAAATGTTACTCGCATTTTTTATCTACCAATGCTAATACCGCAAAAACTAAGCGACCAGATTTCTAAAATCAAGTGTCTCCTATCTAAAAAGAATAAGGTGAACTAATGATGTTTGGCTTGAGACAGATATGATTTTATTTGTTTTCTTATTTCACAATTAGAAACAGAACCTGGCGATGGTAAGAGCGATCATCATAATCAGAATTTCATTATTTTCGCAAACTTTTGTTTTCGCAAATTTAAATGTATATTACTATTGATTTCCATCATATTTTCGTTTCAATATGTTTACATTCAACAAACATATCACGTCAATAGTTTCATAGATTAAGGAGTATCAATTGATTTTAATGTTCATTGTCAGTTTCATCTTAATTATAGTTAGTCAATAATTCCAACTTTCTCCGCTAGGTGGCGCAATCTGAATGCCAAAAATGCAGCCACCATTTCAGACAAAAGATAAGCCAATCCCACGTAGGCAATTAAGTTTATATGACCCTCTAAATACTCGGTGACCGCTTCCACGCACCCCTTTTCGAACACAACGAGGTCAAGGGTCAAGTTGACACAGTTGGTCGGGGTCAAATCCGATGAGAGGTCAGTTTTGCGCTCGGGTGAAGATTCGTTTATGGGTTTGAAGTCTTTGTCGTATATGCCAGGGCAGGTGTGAACAACTATAGGTTTCATGTCTGCTAACGACGCGCATGAAGCTGGAGCAACACCGATCTGGCTCTCGACTTTCTAGAAAAAAAGTCATTAAAAAGAAGCGTTTTTCAATTGGTTTGACTTGCATTCGCTATTTGGGAAAAAATCAGAAATCAAGCCCTTTCACTGTTAGTCGGCGAAACTAAAAAGACCCAATTGATTCGATAAAATTAGTATTAACTCAAAATGTATTTAATCAGATAGGAAAACTCTAAATATCTCAATTATTCATGCTATCTAATTTTTTTTCAAAACTCAAACAATGGGTTCATTTTTTTGTCTTTTCAAAAAAGTTTAAAAAAGTTGTGAGTTGGTGAACTTAGTTCAAAAAAGAGAAAAATTAGACCTGAAAATGAAGACTATGTATAAGACAAAAAATCTCAGTTATGTCCATGTGATTCTTACAGCATCCTTAGAAAAAAAATTCGAAACAAAAAGAAAAACTCAATTCAACCCCAGTGGTCTTAGAATGCAAATTTTGCAAGATTTGCATTCAAAACAAAAACAGGGAAACTCGTGGAAAATTGAGGAAACGTTGCATAAATATGTATTAAACAATTTTACCGTGACATCGTCGGCAAAGAACACTTTCTGCCAAGTATGAGGTCCTTCATCGCCACAACAATGCAGACTCTCTTGCAGATGATCCCAATGATCCCTCACAATCGGCATGTCTCTGTAAAACTCCAGACTCTGATCCAGATCCAGTTTGATCATCTGGTACAAGTGGTCTTTCCAGACGAAGATACACCCGATCACCAGAAGTTGAATGGCGATGAAACTCAAGGACACCCACATGTATAAAACAGTTCCTGAAAAGAAAGAAATCTGAGTTCTGAGAAATGAAATTCCCATGTATCCAATTGACATCCTTTTCAGATCAAAAATCGACTAAAAATTCTGTCTTTACAAAAAAGTCTGCTGGTTTTCTTCTTTGAATTATTTTGCTGTGGGTTCTTTCAGGCTGAACTATGAATTTAATTTTAAAAATTAGTAACAAAGGGTTGGAAGTCTAAAAAATTCCCTGCAATAACATTTAACGACCTAATTATTTGGCTCATCGGTGATTAAATTTAACTCCCGATGAGAAAAATTTCCTCTTGAAAAAAGAGGAAATTTAGACATGAAATCTTCCCCTCACGTGCTCAAAAAAATCGTAGATCCCAGCTCGAATTTGTTATTTCTGAATCTGATATTTACAAAATCATCGCGTAAATGATCGTTGATACCTTTGGTGAAGTTTGTCCAAATAGACGCCTGTCCAATGATGCCAGCCATGATCATGACTATGGAGCAACTGGCCAATAACACACTCGCATACGTCGCATAGTTTTTCTTAATCAGATAGCCCTCTTTGACCTGGGACAAAAGTCTAATCTGCTTTAGATGGTGCAAGGTAATAAAAAAAGTATCTCTGTTAGACATCATAATGAGCAATCTTAGAGCTCCGTGCTGGACCCAAGTCGCCCCAGAACAAAACAAATTGCAGCAAAAAAACTCGAATACAGAAAGGTTATAAAAAAATTAGTTTTTGGAATATTTTGAGCTTTTTGATTTTAGATTTGGTTAAAAGTAAATATTTTTTTTTCAGCTATGAAAGGTTTGTCGCGTTGCAAAAAGGTAGAACACTAAGAATACGTGCAAAGTGTAATAAAAAACCGAGAATCATGTTTTAAATATTTTTTTAATTGAAAAATTATAACTTGAATCATTAGTTCTTACCTGATCGTCGTGACGCAACAGAACCATTAGTGACAGCAGAAATACAGGAATTGCCAGCAGAATCATAACCAAGTTAATAGACAGCAGGGTTATTCTGACTCGGGCGAAGCCAAAACAGCCCCCAACTGGGGGTTCGGGTCTGGAAGTCATATTATTTTAGGATAACGTTAATCAAATCAGAAGTTAAGTTTTTGGAGTTGGCTTCTTGGTTTCGGTCAAAATTTGGTTTCGGTGTGTGTTTCAGAAAATGCACACGAAGTTCATTTTTGGACGGAACATTTTTTTGGTGACGTAATCTTTATCGGTCAAAAGGTCAAAGCTTATTATGAAAAGAAAGAGCTGTTTATGCTGATTTCAACTGGAATTTATTTAAATCAACAAATGTATTTTTTGGTTGCTGCGAACTACAAAATTATCAAATCTAAGTTGACGGTTTTGTTAGTGTTATTGAAAAAATGCCTCGACCTCAATAAACAATTTCTTTTATGCAGACCCATTTGAGAGATCTTCTGCAGTTCGCTGAAACGCGAAATCATTTGTTTGTCGGATTGGCGAGCCAATTCAATTTCATTACGTTTCTCAGGTTGAGGTTCCACGACTTGTGTCGACAGACTTTAAAAATAGCACCGCATATAATTCTCAGATCCAAATGTCTTAGTCTGGACAATATTTAAGTCGACTAACTTTCAGACTACCGCGACCCAAATAAGATAGTTCCAGAAGTTCCAGATTTTGCTTACGACTATAAAACCCTGACCAGACTATGAATTTTTGGTCGCGGAATTAACATTGCCGCCATTGTGTAATTCTGGAAATTTGTCGCGAATTTGACCATGACGCGGACCTTGACATAGCTAGGTTATAAATTGCTTTAAAGTGAGGTTATTAGATTAACTAAAGTTAACTTTTATAGTACTTTTACAAAGCCATCACTAGTGAGATAGTCTAGACGGTTTTGAAAAAATTGTTTTAACAATATTTGGCAATCAGGAGGGTCATTAAGACAATTTCTTCACCAAGAAAAGGTCCAAAATTTGAGCTGTTCAGGTCTTCACCGACAACCGCTGATGTGCCACTTCTTAAGAACTAAATGTATTTTTTTTTTGCTTTTTTCTGCCTCATTCTCAAGCAACGAGCACGGCTCATGGCGGGCCTCGAACATCCGACCTTTCGATTGAGAGGCGAAGACGTAACACCTTTTTTTAAATAAGAATCCCGCATCGTTCACGGTTGGAAGGGTCCCAGTGTCATACGCCTCCTCAAGGTGGGACCGATTGCGTCTTATCCGCTCGGCCACGGCTGTCCTAATCTGTCGTTGTTTTAGGTCAGATTCTGGAGATGTGGACTGATCCGGACACTGGGAAGACTTACTTGAGGACTAAGAGTGGCAAGATTGTGAGTGAGGTGGATGACACTCTGGTCATGTACACAGATCCCAAGACGGGGAAGAAGTACTTGGCACCCAGAAACGGTTGGTATAGATCCTTAAGAGAACTCGTTGAGTCAAGTCATAATATATTTTCAGAATTTCAATCAAAATGTTGGTTTTAAAAGTATCAATACAAACCGCTTCAAGTATAATTGCTTTCCCTTGTGTTCCCAAGAAATGAAGAACCAATAACAACAAATTTTACGAGGGGTCGGGGTAGGGGGGGGGGGAGTTGAAATGCCTAATAAGAGTTGACCCTGCGTGGCTGCTAATCATAATTCTGTTTGAATATTCGCCAATGTTAGGCAATCATAATTCAGTCGGACGAAAAACTACATCTTCTCTATATATTTAAAAGAAATATAAAAAAAAAATTATATCGATATGTTCAAATCACACAAACTGGTCCTGGCGGGATTCGAACCCCAGCAGTTGGTGTCATGGACTGTTGTTGTTCTAGGCGCGCAGCAGTCATCTGTGTTCACTGACCCCGTGAGTGGGAAAGTGTACATCCGGACCAAGAGTGGAAGAATAGTGGAGGCACAGATGGAGGAGGAGATGGAGATATATGTGGATCCCATAACTGGCAAGACATACCTCAGGACCAAGTCTGGAACCCTCAAAGGTCAGTTCGAATGCCATTTTTGCGGAACTTATCCAAGTTTACAAAGACTAAATTAGAATTAAATTCTAAACCTTTCAAATTAATCACTATGATTATGGACAACGAAAGCTATGGAGAAATACAACAAAAAAGTGAGAATCGAATTCTCAAGTACCAAGCCAGAAATACTAAAAAAAATACTCAGTTGGGATCCCATCTTCCTCTGAGAAGGTTAGGTTACGAGAATGTGAGCTAATTAACCAAGCGAATCGGTGCGTTGAACTTAAATCTCGACTGAAACGTTCCTAATGCAGACTCAAAAATTAATTGTGGTTCCTGCAAGACATAGAGAAACTATCAATGGGATTTAACAGGCCTGTTTAAGGATAGTCCATTTGAAAACTGCAATTCAGTCTATTATAAAATTGAAACGGTTTACTGAATTATAGATAAAAACAAGCATGGCCCGTTGCTGGTGCAAGTTGCCCAGAATTTTCCAATCAAAGAG